TTGCTTATCTCTTGCTGGTTTTAGGATTCTCTCTTTGTCTTTAATTTTTGGCATTTTAATTACTATGTGTCTTGGTGTGGGCCTGTTTGGGTTCTTCTTACTTGGGGCTCTCTGTGCTTCTTGAACTTGAATGCCTTCTTCCTTCATCAAATTAGGGAAGTTTTCTGTCACTATTTCTTTAAATATATTCTCTAATGCTTGCTCATTTTCTTCTTCTTTGGGGACTCCTATGATGCGAATATCATTATGTTTCCAGTTGTTCCACAATTTTCTTAAGCTGTCGTCCTGTTTTTTAATTGTTTTTTTCCGATTGGTTGATTTTTTCTACCCTGTCTTCTAATTTACTAATCCGGTCCTCAGCTTCCTCTACTCTGCTGTTTAGACCTTCCAATGTGTTCTTTACTTCTGCTGTGTCATTCTTCATTTCTTCTTGGTGGTTTTTAATTTCCAATTGGTTGATATTCAACGTTTCTATGTCCTTACTCATGGTGTTGATGTCTTTACTCATGCTGTTGCACTTCTTCAAGATCATGGTTCTGAATTCTAGCTCCGTTAACTTCCTTAACTGCACCTCATTTATCTCATCTTCGATAGAGGTCTCTTGTTCTTTCATTTGGCATTTGTTTCTTTGTTTCACCATTTTGGCTGTCTCAGTGGGCTTGGAGCCTGCCAAAGTTTCCCTGTGGGTGTTGGTGTTCTGCTGTTTGTGGCTCCCTCTGCTGGGTTTGGATGAGTATGGGAGGACCCACGTTAAACACCACTGCCAAGTCTTATTTTCCTGGGTAGAGTTGCAAGCCCAGAAATGGTTCAGTTATTCTCTAGCTTTTTGCCTGGAGTCTATCTATTAGTCTCAGTTACTTGATGAGCCTTGGGTTCTCAGTTGAATGAAAAACTCAGGTGTTCAGTGTAAGAGGATTTCTCGAGGGTGGGGCAGATGCTGGTTGTTAATTAGCCTCAATTTGCATTTCAATGACCCACAGGGTGGGGTTGAATCTCTGAGGGAGGGGCCGCCACATCTCCCCAGAGCCCTGGGAAGGAGTAAGATAGCCACTGTTCTGCATGGCCGCAACTCAGCAAAAGCTCTGCATGCCCTCCATATCCTGAATGTCCTTACACAGTTCCAGTCCAGTCCGCCCTCCCTCTGCTGGAGCCCAAGGTGAGTGGCTGTGGCTATTTTAGTGCTCTGTCCTGGCCCTCTGCACTGTGGAGTCGCTTGGGAGTTTAACCTGAGGGCGCTGGTCACACCTAAGACCGCTGCTGTCTGTGGGCTCCCAGCTCCTCTCTTGCGCCTCCATAATCCTACCCGGATCGAGTCAGTGTCCCTGGTTATGTGGTCCTTGCAAGCTGCTTTTCTATTGCTTTTTCCCGACGATTTGTCTTTATTTTAGTTGTAATTCGTTTGGTCCTGGGAGATGGTCTGTGTAGCTGCCACTCACTCGCCACCATTTTGGAATCTCCTCACCAGAGGCACTTTTAGAATGCTACACAGTGAATTATTCTAAAATGATTTCAGTTTCAGAATAATTTTTATGCCTAAGTAATACTTTCACATTTTATTAATTATTAACAAAAATAATATTCTGTGATGTTTGAAAACTTGTTGATTCAAGAAACATATATTTACTGAAGGCTTCACTTGTGGAAAGCTCTATAAAAAACCAATGAGATGCATTTCTAAACTTCAGGAGCTCTGAAAGCCAACTAGTTCTTCTTCGTTGCACACAGAACAACAAACTGCTGGGAAACTATTAACATTTCAAAATCAGGATGCATCTTTCATTGAAGACTATTTAGCAGCCAAATAGTGAAGCTTAGTCTGAGGGGCCTCTCTACCCCTCTAGTATCCAGCTAGACTTTATTTTTTAATTTTTTTTTCTTTATTGATTTTATAGAGAGAGGAAGGGAGAGGTAGAGAGACGTGAAAACATCGATAAGAGAGAACATTGATTGGCTGCCTCCTGTGTGCCCCCTACTGGGGATTTTGCCCACAACCTGGGCATGTGCCCTGACTGGGAATCAAACTTATGACCTCTTGGTGCATGGTTCAACACTCAGCCACTGAGCCACACCAGCTGGGCAAGTATCCAGACTTTAAATACTAAGTTTCAGCCCAGCAGATACACACTGACAGGCTCTGCGTGCATCAGAGCTGGGTCAGATTCCTGGACTGGGTTGTTGTAGTGTTACTATACCAATGGTCTTCTCTCAGATACAAACATTGCTGCTCCTGGCAGTGTGGCCACTTAGAAAAGGCCTCTCCTCCTATATCAATTGTGAGGTGCTTGGAAGGTGAAGGATGATCCAGCTAGGCTAAGCGATCAAGAAAGCAAGTCAGGTATTAGCATTGTTTCAGGAGGCCACTAATACAAACAACCCACAGACTCTTCCCTCTTGCATTCTCTTTTGTTCCCAGGATTTGTTGTTCTCTGTACTTACCTGGTTTGTTTGTATATATTTGTGTTATTTTTCTGTCTTCCTCATCTCTTTCTCCAGGGAACCTGTTCGGTTTACTTCTGGATCCTCAGTGTCTGGAAAAGAATAGGCACTCAATAAGTAACACTGAGTGAATGACTAAATTAATTAATACAATAGCAAATTCTACCAAAATGAAAACCATAAATGATGTATCAGAGAGGCTCAGCCAAAGATTTCTATCAGCAGTGACATGACATTAAAAAAAGCCAATGCTGTCTCTCTCATTGATGTTTCTGTCTCTCTCTCTTTCTCTCTCCCTCCCTCTAAAATCAATAAAGAAAAAAAAAGCCAATGCTGCCCCGGAGAAAGTGGCACCACTAAAAGACACATGGTGGGATTCAGTAGACCTGAAGATGCTAAGCTGGGAAGGAAAAAATCTGATTTCCCAGGACAACAGGCATGGAAAAGCTTCTATATCATGTTGTTTTCAGGGAGGCCAAAAACTTAGCACTGGCATGTTTTTGTTTTTTGTTAATCTTCACCCAAGGATATTTTTTCATTGATTTTTAGATAGAGTGGAAGAAAAGGAGGGAGAGAGAGAGAAAGATAGGGAGGAGGATGAGGAGGAGGAGAGAGAGAGAGGAACATCCAAGTGAGAAAGATACATCCATTGGTTGCCTCCTGCACGACCCTGACTGGGGCCAGGGATCAAACCTTCAACCCAGCTACATGTCCTTGACAGGGAACCGAACCTGGGACCCCTCAGTCCATTGGCTGACACTCTCACACTGAGCCAAACTGACCAGGGAATTTTTTTAAAAATATCCTCATCCAAGGATATGTTTTTATTGATTTTAGAGAGAGAGGAAGAGAGAGAGAGAGAGAGAGAGAGAGAGAGAGAGAGAGAAACATCGATGTGAGAGAGAAATATTGATCAGTTGCCTCCCACACATGCCGTGACTGAGGATCTAACCCCCAACCTAAGTTGGTGCCCTGACCAGGAATCAAACCTGCAACCTTTTGGTATACAGGACGACACTCCAACCACTTGAGCCATCTGGCCAGGGCAACACAGGCATGTTTTTATCTTAATCCCCATTTCTCTACCCAGTAAAGTTATGTAATTTTTTGGTTCTTCTATATCATCTATTTAGCTATTCTATTATTATAATTATACATAAAAGACTTTTACTTTTACTATAGAATTGTATCACCTTTCCCCACCCCTCCACCAAAAAATAATATATGCTTTATTATCCATGGTCAAAATGAAAGATCTAAAAAGTCCAGCAGTGGGTAATTTGGCAGTAAATATCAAAAACCTATAAACTCTTTATCTTCCTTTTGGCCTACCAAAACTACTTATGTTGATTCAGAGTAAGGCAATGATTGGGAAGCAGGCAACATTATATTACATGTTTATACTTGTGAAAAATTGCAAATAACCTAAATATCTACCAGTGTGGGTTGAATAAATAATAAATTGGGTATATTCATAGCAAAATCATTTTAGACTCTAAAAGTTATATAGATTTTGCCGATGTGGACAAATGGCCTCAATGCATTGTTATATGAAAAAAACAATTTAAGCCCTGGCCGGTTTGCTCAGCGGTTAAAGCATTGGCCTGCGGTCCAGAGAGACCTAGGTTCGATTCCTGTTAAGGGCATGTGCCTCGGTTGCGGTTTGTCCCCGGCCCTGGTTGGGTCGTGCAGGTGGCAGCCACTCGATGTGTCCCTTTCATGTTGATGTTTTTCTCTCTCTTCCTCTCTCTCCCTCCCACTCTATCTGAACAAAAACCAAAAAAATGTCCTCGGGTGAGGATAAAAAAAAAAGGAAAGCCAGTTTAAAAAACAAAATTTATATTTTTCAATTGTTTTACTAAAAAAAGGTGTAAGTATATGCATAAAAAATACATAAAGCTATATAGTAAAATGTTAACAGCAGTTATCTTTAAATGATGGAATTTATATAAGCTCTGTTTTATTTATTATACTTTATTCTTCTCCTAACCTTGCAATAGACATCTGTTGACCTTTTTCAATCTTAAAATATACTTAGAATAAGAAAATGAGAATAAAGACATAGGTAATATGCAGATGGGCAAGCTGCAAAGTTTTACACTGACATGCATTTGATGCTGAGTGCATTCATTCATTCACTGGGATTTACTGGGAACAGATTGCGAATCAGAGATGAATCAGTCATGGATCTTGCATTGCCTTCAAGGGTCTCAGTTCAAAACTGTTAGATGTCCAAAATACTTTCTCCTTAACCATATTTACTATGCATCCATAATATTACTTAATGCTTATAGCATTGTAATTTGCTTTAAACATGTCTATATGTGTTTTGTCCATTTAACCAGATTGGAACGCCTCAAGAGCAGGAAGGACATCTCCTGTCTCTACTATCCCCTCACACAACCTTGTACATATACCCCTTGGTTGTTACAAACTGACTGTGACAAAAAAGAATAGGGTAGTTTGTGTGAGAACAAGCAAAGTAGAGGGCATTATTAAGCCTTTGTACTGCTGTGTGCTCTGACTGAAGATGAATCTAGGATATGTCTTCTTCTTGCTTCTAGGTCTTATTCCCTCTTCACATGGACAGGCCTATATCAATGGGTTTGAAATTTCACAAGACATGTTTCAAATTCGGAAGAACCTGGGCTGGTGTCCCCAACATGATATCTTGTTTGATAATTTGACAGTAGCAGAACATCTTTATTTCTATGCTCAGGTAAGTCAGTGGATGACAGGTTTTATTTCTTCTGTATTCATTCTTGGGGATGGTAAGAAAGCCTGCTTCTGTCTAACTCAACCTCATTGGGTCATGAAACCTCTTCTGCATACCATTCCCTAAACAGTCGGGGTGTGTGTGTGTGTGTGGGTGGGTGGGTGGGTGCATGGTGTTTAAGATTTTTGAATTAAAGGGTCTCTAGAAATTATTTTTTATTGAGGTGAAATTCACATAACATAAAATTTATCATTTTACTCATTCTATTTATTTTTAAACATATGTTTTTCTTTATTGATTTTAGAGAGAGAGGTAGGGAGAGGGGGAGAGAGATAGAAACATCAATGAGAGAGAACATCGAGTAGCTGCCTCTTGCATGCCCCCCACAACCTGGGCATGCGTCCTGACTGGGAATCGAACTGGCAACCTCTTAGTGCATGGGTTGATGCTCAACCACTGAGCCACACTGGCTGCACCCATTTTGCTCATTTTAAAATGTAAAATGTAGTCATTTTTAGCATACTCACAATGTTGTGCAACCATCACCAGTATGTAATTACACAACATTTTCATTACTTTAAAATGTAACCTGCATCCATTAGCAGTCACTCTCCACTCCTTTCTCCCACCCCTGACAAGCACTAATCTGCTTTCTGTTTTTATGGATTTGACTATTCTGAATGTTTCATATAAATGGAATCATATATTCCATTTGGATGTTACTTTCGTGCCTGGCTTCTTTCACTTGACATAATGTTTTCAAGGTTTATCCATGTTGTAACATGTGTCAGTACTTTGCTACCTTTAATGGCTGAATGATATTCCATTATATGAAATTGGATATCCATATTTTGTTTATCCACTCATCAGCTGATGGACATCGGGGTTGTTAGTACCTTTTGGCTATGTGAATAGTGCTGCTATGAATATTAGTGTTCAAGTTTTTGTTGGAACACCTATCTTCAGTTCTTTTGTGTAGATAACTAGGAATGAAATTATGGGTCATATGTTTAACTTAAAAAAATAGTTTTTGAGGAACTTCCATTCACTGTGGTTCTGATTTGCATCTCCCTGGTAACAAAGGATGTTGAGTATCTTTTCATGTGCTGATTGGCCATTTGTATGTCTTCTTTGAAGAAATGCCTGTCCAAGTCCTATGCCCATTTTGCAACTGGTTGCTTATCTTTTTGTAGTTGAGTCATGAAAGGTTTTTTGTTTTTTTGTTTTTTTTTTAATAGTTGACAGTGTTACAGATATCCTCCATTAACCTCTCCCTCTCCTGCTTTGCACCTCCCACCCAGCCCTACCCTACCCTAGGCCTTCCCCATACTATTGTCTGTGTCCATGGGTTATGCATACATGCATATATGTTCTTTTGTTAATCTCTTCCCCTGACCCTCCACCACCACCCCTCTGAGATCTGTCAGTCTGTTCCATGCATCCTTGCCTCTGAACCTATTTTGTTCCTCAGTTTATTTTGTTTGTTAGATACCACATATAAGTGAGATCATGTGATATTTGTCTTTCTCTAATTGGCTTATTTGCTTAGTATAATAATCTCCAGGTCCATCTATGCTATTGCAAAGGGTAAGAAATCCTTCTCTCCCTGGCAGATAGAAGCCCTGCCACTTTCATGGCTGATGTTACATAAGCCACTGTTCTCAACTCTGGTGCTGGAGTCCATGCCTCAGTCCTCTCAAGGAAACACTATCCCCACCCCCAGCTAGCAGCCTAGATATCCTTCTTCACCCTTGGGTCTGCCACCCATGGCCAGTTGGGCCAGCCTCTCTCACAACCTGCACTTTCCACCAGTGTCAATGTAGTTTCTGCCCTCCCTTGTTAAAAATCTCCTTTTCAGCTCGGCCGGTATGGCTCAGTGTTTGAGTGTCGACCCATGCACCAAGAGGTCACCAGTTCGATTCCCGGTCAGGGCACATGCTCAGATTGTGGGCCCAATCCCCAGTGGGGGGCATGCAGGAGGTGGCCAATCGATTTTCTCTCTCATCAATGTTTCTAAATCGCTCTCTCTCTCCCCCTTCTCTCTCTCTAAAATCAATAAAGAAAAAAAAATTTTTTAAATCTTCTTTTCAGCTAGAATTCATTTGGCAATTCAGGGTGAATGTTTCCCAATTTACTTTCTTTTTTAAAAATATGTTTTTATTGATTTTTAGAGAGAGATGAAGGGAGAGGGAGATAGAAACATCAATGTGAGAGAGATACATCAACCTGCTGCCTCCTGCACGCCCCTCCCTGGGGATTGAGCCTGCAACCCTGGTATGTGCCCGGGCCGGGAATTGAACCAGGAACTCTCAGTCTATGGGCTGATGCTCAGTCCACAAAGCCACACCGGCTGGGCTCCAATTTACTTTTTTTTGTTAACTCATCTTTATTATTGAATGTATTATAGATGCCCCCCCCTTTTTCCCCATTAACTCCCTCCTCCCCAATCCCACCACCCTCCAGCCTTCCCCACATTATTGTTGGTGTCCATTGTTTATGCATAGAAGTTCTTTGGTTTATCTCATCCCATCCTCCCTTCCCTCTTCCCTTTGAGATTCATCAATCTAACGTACAATTTGTACTTCTTAATTCTTTTATATTTTTCACCCATGTCCCCATCCCACACTCATCTGGCAAGCAACAAAAAGTTCTCAGTATCTATAAGTCTGTTTCTGTTCTGCTTGTTCATTTTGTTTGTAGATTCAATTGTTGATAGATATGTATTAATTGTCATTTTATTTTTCATATTTTGTTCTTCTTCTCCTTCAAGAAGACCCTTCAACATTTCATATAATACTGGTTTGGTGGTGATGAACTCTCCTTTAGCTTTTTCTTGTCTGGGAAACTCTTGATATGTCCATCGATTCTAAATGATAGCTTTGCAGGATAGAGTAATCTTGGTTGTAGGTCATTGCTTTTCATCACCTTGAATATCTCTTGCCACTCCTTTCTGGCCTGAAAAGTTTCTTTTGAGAAATCAGCTGACAGTCTTATGGGAGCTCCTTTGTAGGTTACAGATTGCTTCTCTCTTGCTGCTTTTAAGATTCTCCTTTTGTCTTTAACCTTTGGCATTTTGATGATGATGTGTCTTGGGTGGTCCTCTTTGGGTTCATCTTGTTTGGGACTCTCTGTGCTTCCTGGACTTGTATGTCTGTTTTTCTCACCAAGTTAGGAAATTTATTTTTTTGTCATTATTGTTTCAAATAGGTTTTCAATTTCTTATTCTCTCTCTTCTTCTGGCACCCATATGATGCGAATGTTGGAATGCTTGAAGTTGTCCCAGAGGCTCCTTACACTATCCTCAATTTTTGGATTTTTTTTTCTGTTCTGATCAGGTGTTTTTTGCTTCCTTATATCCCAAATTGATGGTTTGCTTCTTGACTTTACCTACTCTACTATTAATTCCCTGTAAATTTTTTTTTTATATCCTCACCCGAGGAAAAAGTTTTTCCACTTTTTGTTCAAATAGAGTGGGGAGGGAGGGAGGGGGAGAGAGAGAGAGAGAGAGAGAGAGAGAGAGAGAGAAACATCAATGTGAAAGGGACACATCGAGTGGCCGCCACCCGCAGGACTCAGCCAGGACTGGGGACAAACTGCAACCGAGGTACATGCCCTTAGCGGGAACCGAACCCAGGCCTCTCTGGACCGCAGGCTGATGCTCTACTGCTGAGCCAAACTGGCCAGGGCTATAAATTATTCTTTATTTCAGTTAGTGCATCCTTTGTTTCTGACTGGTCCTTTTTTATGTTGTTGATGTTCTCACTAAGTTCCTTGGAGGTCTTCTTAAGTTCTTTGAAGGTCTAACTAAGTTCCTTGAATGTCTCACTGAGTTCCTTGAGCAACTTTATAACCTGTTTTCTGAACTCTGCATATGATTGATTGCTTATCTCTATTTTGTTTAATTTTTTCGTGGAGTTTTGTTCTTTTCTTTCATTTGGGACATGTTTCTTTGTCTCCTCATTTTGGCTGCTTCCCTGTAATTGTTTCTTTGTATTAAGTAGAGTTGCTATGTCTCCTAGGCTTCGTAGGGTGGCCTATTGTTGTAAGTGTCCTATAGGATCCAGTGGCACAGCCTCCCTGATCGCCCCAGCTGGGCCCTTGAAGTGCACTCCTAGTGTGGACTGTACGCTCTTCTGTTGTAATTTAGTCTTGATTGCTCTTGGAATGTTAATGGGAGGGATTTACTCAGGCTGATCAGCTGCAAGGACTGGTTGTGCCCACTGACCACTGACCTCTGACTACCTTGGAGGATCAGCTGTGCAGGGGCCCACCACATGGAGCAAGACTTACTTCATCAGAGCTCTGGTATCCACTGAATCCACTCATTGTGTGTCTCACTTGTGGAGATGGTTGTGTGGTGATGTTTCAATGTGGTCTGGAGCTGTCCACTGGGTGTGCTAGCTCTGGGGCAAGGTCAGCCATTGCCTATGTTCTATCTGGGGCCACCAGTCTTAAGCTACAAAGTGATCTGCCGATTGCTGCTTCTTGTGCTGGGCTTGGAGGTACCCAGGAAAAGCCAAGTTGTGAACCAAGGCTAGCTTCATCTAGTGCCAGTCCTGGGGCCACTTAACAAGAAGTATGGGGCTCACTGAGACCAGATGCTGCTTGTTTTAGAGATTTTAGGTAACTCTGAAGCAGGATCCAAGATAGGCCAATCCTGTGGTAAAGCCTTTGGAAACAGCTTGGGTGGGCCCAAACATTGGGTGATTCAGGGAATCACCAGGGTGGCGCAAACAGTGTGAGCCAGGTTGCTGGAGTCCCAGATATGGCAACCATCTGCTGCCCCAGGGAAGGGCTCACCAAAGGAACATCAGCCTCCACCAGCATATCTGTCCAGGAGAAAGCCCCCTCTCCAGCTCTGGTCCTGAGGCCAAACAGCTCAGTTCTTCCCTGTATGTCTCTGGCTCCCCTCAAGCTGCCTCCCCTCCAAGCTTACAGGAAGCACTTCCAAATAAGTCCATGCACGGGCTTTTTAAGAGGATCTGCTTGGGGCTCCCGCAGCT